ACTATCTAACAATAAGTGGAAACTACTCATAGATAAATATATGACATCACATCATAAATACTTACCTTCTTTTTCCTCATCATCAGCAGGCTGATAAAAGCTAAGACCTAATGAAACCAATGCTGCTACTTCTAAGATGATTAACGTGACATCTTGCAATGCTTCCCATACTAACTGTAAAAATGTTTTTGGTGGCTTTGGAGGTATCATATTGGAACCAAATGTATCTCGCCTATGTTGTATGTCCGCTGCTGATCCACTAAGACCTACATAAACACACAATTATCAAAATATATTTCTCATCATGTTTTTCTATGTCAGAAAATTTTGTTTGTTATGATTCTTAGATTGGTGGTCCAATTTTTACATTTAAGTCTTTTTAAGAAGTCTTAAGATTAATGTCTAAGTCAATTACAGAGCCATATTAGCAGCTTAAGACATTATTTAAGACGATCTTAAAATAACAATTGATTATGAATATCGGCTTAAGCTTTCAGAAATTAGAAGAAAGGTATGTGAAGCTTATCTCTTGTCGATATAAATGCTCTGTCCTAGCGAGATACAGCTGATGAACCTACCTTCATTGGGTGAAGTATACAGTTTTTTACAAATCTCCTGCACACCACCGTAGCCATTGATCTTGTTGACACCTTCGCGACCCCGGAGCTCCATAAGCTCGCGGAGTTGCTTAAGCGTGACACCATATTGGGCCGGCCGGCCGTCTATCGTTGCCATGATATCCCTGTCGTCTCCGTTGGCCGAAGCCAACTACTATTGCGCTTCCGCAAGGCTACCACAGCTCGTATTATTCTCTGGCGTCTCTGCTCCACTGGCCTCCAAGTGAATGGAGGACCAACGGCTGAAACATAAGACAGACCTTCTTCAATTATCAAGTTTACAAGATGCAACGAGATGCTAAAATGGTATGGATATAAACATACATGTTCCATGTTACATTCATATACACATGTTTAATTCCATTTGTAACTTAAATTATCGCAGTGTACCCACTGACTGAAAATTACAGTCTATAAGCCACATCGACGCGTCTCGAAAAAAGTATTAAATAGACGAAATCTACCATCGCGAGGCGTGTAGCACACATCGTTGCACGACGACAGGTCAGCTTTCCTTGATCCGGCGGTGCTGCGGGAATCAAGTAACGCAGACGCAATCGATATTGGGCGACCGCGTGCCAGGAAATTGAACGAATAATCCGACGATGAGGATGATGAGGATGATGACGGCGACGAGGACGAGGGCACGCGGCTACGCTCGCGACGGACGTTCTCGTCGCTTATGCAACGCGATTATTGATTCCGGGGGTGTGCAGCGACGTCGAAAGGAGCAACATCGCTTCGCCGTGCTGGTGCCTGCATACATATACACCACTCATATCACACATACACACACACACACACACACACACACATGTACGATGCGCATACACACACACACACACACACACACACACACCACATGACCCTACCGCGGCGCTTCGCTAAATGTCAAACTCCTTTAACCCGGCGCCGAAGCGAACGCGCGCCGCGTACCGTGTCACGGAGAGAATCGGTCGGCGGCGAGATCGGAGCGAGATCACGAGGCGTTCGTCGTGCGCGCGCGCGCTAATCCCGGAGGTCGGTTAACCCTCTCTCTCCCCTCCGAGTTAAAGAGCCGACAGCCGAGTGCACTCGCCCTGTCCTCTCCGTCAGAGACGTCTTCAGATTTCCATTTCGAGGAACATTCCCAGATATCGCTTTATCCTCGTTTTATTCGATGAACAAGAATAAGTGACATCCGAGTAGCACTCGAATGGGAATTTGAACATAAACCAAGTGTTAATCCAGGTGCTCCCCCTCGAGCTGAAGCGTCTCGCGCTCTAAAATTGAGGTTATGAGCGCCTCAGCAGCGGTCTGAACTGCGGAGCGAGCGGGGCTGCGCGAAACGGAAGCGGCTGGCAAGCGACATGAAGGTTGGCGCGGATCGCTTGAGTGCGGAATGAAGTCCGCAGGTGAGAACCTCATGGGGTGAAAACGAATACCGCGAACGTGGCCGTTGATGGAATGGAAAATACCGCTAACAAGACCGACTGTCACTCACTCCCGCTCGATAGGAATACAAACACGGTGCTCTAAAAATAACGACGCGTGTCGGATAGAGAGGAAAACGAATGTGAAAGAAAGAGAGAGAAAGAGAGGACGCGTTTACCTCCTGATGGTTCCTCTTTCGGCACGTATTAGGAAGGCGATGTGTTCGAAGGAAATCGACGAACAAACAGCCGGGGCGACCACGGCCCTTTTAAGGCTGTCCCCCTCCCTCAATCACAATTTCATGATTTCCCGTGAATGACGTATTGGAAGGAGAGGCTTTATCGCCGCGTAGACAGAAAGGCAGGCGAGCGGTGGCGGGCGGTGCATCCAGTAATGTATGAAGATAGCTGCCGATCACAGACAGTGGAGGCGAGTGTTAAATGAAATTAGCTATCAGAGAAAGAGAGAGAGAGAGAGAGAGAGAGAGAGAGAGAGAGAGCAAAATAATAATCTAGTAATAATCTAGTAATAATCGATTCGTGTTGCCCTCTAGTAGATTGCGAGCGCAACTCCTCTCTCTTTTTTTTCTCTTTTTCTCTCTCATTCTCTCTTCTCTATCTCTTTTCCTTTCCCCTTCCCTTTTTGTCTAGGATTGTTACTTTACCTCGAATCGCAGATTTGTTACGTACGATCGCGCGCTTTACGCTCGTAATACTTTGAGCCTTTTATTTCCAGTCGTACCTGTCGCCACTTCCGGCGTTCAAAATGAAAGATTCACGAGTAGAATACGTAATTATAATACATAATTATAATAAGATCAAGATGACATGAAGTAGAAATCAGTTTAAGAAAAATCATAACGATGTTATTCGATACACTTATGAAAATGATTTTGCGTGTAATTCTTGACATGACAGTCATTTCTTTATGATTTTTATTTAAAAAATATAAAATCATAAAGATAACATCAAATGGGACTTATTTTAGAAAAAAATCATAATATTCGTTATACCCAAGCAAAAGTCAGTTATGATATCAAAAATGATGTCAAAAATAACTCCAAAATGATCCTTAAAAATCATTTTCCAATCATATCCGATTCATTTTAATGTCATTAATGTATCGTGACTTGTTCTGCTTGAGACACTTTTAATGATGATTTTATAATGAATTTCACATGATAATTTTTAAATGATTAATTTTTTTATTGATTTCTGACGTGATAATGATTTTTAAATGTTTTTTTTACTAAAGAAATTGTCAAATCACAAAATCATCATTATATCGAATGATATCATAATATTTTTCCTGAAATTATTGATTTTTTTTTAATAAAAAAAATCACTTTAAAAATCACTTTTACTATCATATTAAAAATTCACAAAATTATTAAAATCATAATTTTTTATAAAATAAATAACTTAAAAATTAAGAAGATTATTGTCACGTCAAGAATTTGTCACAAAATTATCTTCAAAAGTGCACATTGACGTCAACGTGATTTTTTTTTAAAACTTGATGTTATCTTAATCTTTTTGTGATTTTGTATCTTTTTGTGTTTTTGTGATTTTATCTAAGTGATACGTAACTCAAGGAAAAAGAAAAGAATGATACGCACAGACCGTGATCGATGTCCATTTCTTACCAATATAACTTAATTTTAATCTTGGTTTAATTTATTTTTTATCTTTTTCTAATTCTAACCCAGATAGAACACGGATAATAATTAAGTCATAATGATATCATAGAATGTCATCATGATGTCATTTAATACTTGAAAATTAATTTATGAGTGACGAATGAAGTCATGATGATATCTTTATGATATTATTATGACTTCTATGTTCTACTTGGGAAGAATTAGAAAAAGATATTCGTTAAGCCAAGGTTAAAGTTAAGTTGCATTTATAAAAATAGCAACGACGCGAGAAAAAAAGGAATTCTCTGCGAGATAAAAATTTCGTCCTGAGAGAGAAACGACCTGAGTACACATCGGAAAGAGCACACGGAAATTTAATCCGTTCAGTAAAAGCCCTCTGCGACGAAAGATCAACGGCGAGAGACGTCGGGACGCCGGGCGTCGTCGTCGCGACGCGACGCGGCGACGCATTCTCCGCGCGATGGCCCAACTCACTCATGAACGGTTCACGTAATCCTCTCATCCCTGGCTATTTCGAACTAATAACCAGCAGCGGCCGCGTTGGTTTCTTTTACGACTCCATGCGAGATCATGACGTCTCAACTGTGACGTCAAACAATCAACCAACGAAGGTAGTGAGAGAATGTTAAACTTTATGCACAATGAAAGTACAGAGAATATAATCATCGTATATTATAAATTTTGCAATTTTTTAATCAGGCAATTATTACTCATTAGACAATTATTACTTATCTATACTGAGAAAAAAGTTCTAATTGTATTAACAAGAAGTACAAATAAAATAAATTAGATATTGAGCAAAATGTTCTGATTGTACCAACGAGAAGTATAAAAAAAAAAACAAATTCGATCATATAAATTAGATATTGAGAAAAATGCTCTGATTGTAATAACGAGAATACAAACAAAACAAATTCTGATTATATAAATCAAAGTTCTGGTTGTCGTAATTGAATTTCTAGTTATTTCGAGAGTAGAATGTTTAATAGATTTAACTGTCTAATTTATATGTTTCTGATTGAATCTATCGGAATTAATGCAACAGAACTTTTTTTCAGTGCAGACTTGTCGACTATTATTGCAAAGTTAATTTGATGAAATTTCTGTTGTTTTATTAGCAATCTTATATTATCTATAACATCTATGTTCTAGGACGGGTAATATAAATTTGACATTTTGCAACTTTCAGGTTTGTTTCTACTGTAGAGTAACTTTGATCTCGGTTTATAACTTAACTGTCTTTTTTATTTTAAGAATTAGAAAAAATAAATTACATATTATATATAAACTGAGATTAAAATTAATTTACATTGATAAAAGTAGAGGGTGAAAGACCAATCGGATTTGAACAAAATGGGGTTATGTCAAATGTTAAATTCATGAAAGCTTTACATTGAAAAAAATGTAGTATCAATAAGAGACGAATAAATTGTATTCTGATAATACCAAACAAAATTCTAGTTATCGTAATTGAATTTCTGATTGCGTTATTTCGATTAGAATTTATTATTTTGACTAGTTTGATAGATTTCACTACGTTGTAAAAAATTTAGCATGGATTTAACACCGTGAGTGTTAAATATAATTCTCACCTTGTTGATGTTGATTTATCAAAACTCCAACAAAATGTGAATTTAATATCATGAGTTTTAAATCATACTGTTAAATTTATAATGTTAAATTATAACTAATTGGAGTTATTTTTAATTATTTCTACAGGTCGCCACTGCTCCTATCCTATTAATCTAACTAAAACAATGCAATTAAACAAATTAACTCAAGAAAATATGTTAAATTTTATATTCAAATTTAGTTTATTATTTACTAAGCGCACATTAATATGGATGTTGTTTACTTCAACCACAGAAATGGATTGATTTACATGTTGACATACATGAAGTTAAAATGTTATTTTAACAAGAGATTGATTTAATTTCTTTGATTGCTCTTTTGAAATCTAATAGTGTAATATTCAATCCACAACCATAGTATTAAATCTATATCTCATTGGTGTTTATATCAATGTCATATGGAGAAATTATCGCCGCATGTGATATTAAATTCACACCTATATTTTTTAAAGTGTATAAGTATCTGATACCTATATATGGTCGAACCTATTTCGAATTCCAATTAATGCAGACTTTTTTCAATATAGAAAAAAGGAAA